CTGTACTTATATAGCGCCTTTATTCAAGTCAGGAGACTTGACCAAAGCGCTTTACACTACATTCATTCATTCACCCATTCACTGATGGTGGCAAGCTACATTGTAGCCACAGCTGCCCTGGGGTTCATTGACAGAAGCGGTACACTGGTGCCACCGGGCCCTCTGGCCACCATCAGTACAGGTGAAGTGTCTTGCCCAAGGACACAAAGACACTGAAATTCGGAGTCGGGGCTTGAACTGTCAACCCTTCGATTTCAGGGCAAACTCCTACATCTAACGCTACTGTCGCCCCAAAAATGGAGAAATGTACCTCAGTACTTAACCCATCCCCTTAGGGAGCAATGGGTTATCACCCTGGGGAGCAGTGTGGGGTTAAGGATCTTGCTCAGAGACTCAGAGTGGCAGTCTGTGGGTATGGGGTGGGGTGTTAGAACCTTAAAGACTCAAAGCTTTATGCCCTAACGACTAGGGCCCTAACTTTGGACATAGCACACTGCAAAGGGAGAAGATTTAGTCAGTTGTTCCATGGCCAGGAAGAAAAACCACATTGCCCTTCCTGAAACTGTGGTTCAACAATCAGCTAGACTCTCCTCTATATCACCCTGGCACAGACCTTCTGGAGATGCCTGAAAAGTATGATCCCCCAATAGTTGGAACTATGCAGGCAGACCACTCCAGTCTGTCCCCAAACTCAATGACATGTTAAAGAGGTGTTGCTTTGACATCCTGACAACTTACAAAGATCTAAGCTAATTAACGCCTTCATCCCCCCAAAGCCTTGCCACCGTGGAGTTGTTTGCTCACCTCTGTGACTTCAGCCTGGATGATGAATGAATCCAGCCCCTGCACCCTGTCCTTATTCCACTATGAGGGACCTAACCCTAACATATTCCTTCAACCCTCCAACAATATCCTCTTTCAAGGTCAGCAGCGCCCCACCCCAAATAAACAACACTATTATTTATATGACTCCCTTCCCCTCCAGAGATGCTGGACGGTTTGCCAGAATCTCTTTGAATCACTTTCTCTGCCCTAAGATTTGTCTCTGCGACTGCTACGGGTGGGGGCACACTTGGCCTAAAGATACTTGCTTGCTATCTTAAGAGTCCTACAAACCAGCCAAGGTCGGTATGACTTATTCTTCAGCTTGATACCATCCCTTACTGCCATCCACAGGTTTGGGGATTGCTGCAACAACAGACCTTACAGAAAGCTGCAGGTGACTGCATCAACAATGGAGGCAGAAAACATGGTCATTTAGACTCCCTGTCCCCAGCCTCCACTGGGATCTGGGAGAGCATCTCCCGGATGACCCAGGCCTCCTCCAGACATTCAAATTAGATCTCTCTACTCACTTGGGGCTGCCAGGTTTGTCCAGACTACTCCTCATTCAGCTCACTACCAGGTAGTGATTGGTAGACAGCTCCCCCCTCTCCTATCCCCAGTCTCCGCCAGAGACCGCCAGGCGATTACTGAGGAAAACCAACCCCAGTCCTGTCTCCATGATGATCTCCCTCCTGCAAGGTAGCAGGAAATGTCACATGCCTCCATTTGTTTGCCATCATATGGGCTTTTTGAACTGCATTTTGTCTGACCACCACCCAGAGCCTGTTTGCTTTGGGATACCAATTATAGTGCCCAAAAACATAGTACCTAAGACCATTTGGGCACTTAAACCCCTTCACCAATTATTTCTAAATGTTGCTATTGTTTCAGGATTATTGTATTCATTAGGTAATCTAATGTTGTCTACCATGATTGGAATGCTGTTACATTCTGTTTTAACTGATTACCAACAGGGTGGAAAAATTCCAATTCGATGGACGGCTCCCGAGGCAATTGCATACAGAACGTTTTCCTCCTCCAGTGATGTGTGGAGCTATGGTGTGGTCATGTGGGAAGTAATGTCCTATGGAGAGCGGCCATACTGGAATCTCACCAACAGAGATGTAAGTGGTTTTTGCTAAATCAAAAAGCATGAATATAATAAAACCTCCACCCTCTATTACTGCCATTACAAACTCCTGCAGTGTTTTGCTTAAAAATTGCAGGTTATTAAATCTGTGGAAGAGGGCTACAGGCTGCCTGCCCCTATGGGCTGCCCGGGTGCTCTACACACACTTATGCTGGATTGCTGGCAGAAGGATCGCAATGAGAGACCCCGCTTTTGCCAGATAGTTACTATCCTCGACAAGCTGATCCGCAACCCGGAAAACCTGAAGTCCATTGATACACTCTGCAGGTATATGGATTCTCTGTCATGCCGCGGTTATGTTTAAATTCAATATGATCAGCTGCAGAAAGGTATGCTTATAACGAACCTGAATTTCACAGCTAAAGCCAAGAATTCCCATGTGATCTTTATGTAGAGCGCAGGTCTAGATCAAAGCAAAGCAGAGCAAGGCTGTGAAAGGCAGCACATTCAGGGAGGCTAACAGCACGATTTTGGCGAAGTTAGCAGCCTTTGATCGCAGCCTCGCCTCCTAATAAAGTTAAAAATATGAACTTTTGCTTACATTCGCTTGGTGAAATTCGCAGGGACAAGATGTTGCTGTCAAGGCTCTAAACTTTGGACCCAGACTTTCAGACAGACGGACTGATGTGATTTACAATACCGTTTATTTAAGAACACATTTAATCTGCGGCTCAGCGGCTAGGACACAAAAGGGCTGGAATCTCTGTAGAGGGGAAAACTCAGGTTAGTGACCACGTAAATCTGACAAAGGAAGATAAGTTTTAAACTTTAGTCTGAGCCCAGAGTGGAATCCAGCCAGATGATTTCCCACAGAATGCGTCACCCAGAGAGTTCAAGGAGCCAAAGCCAAGAAGGCTGCTGAACTGTCTGATGAGCAGAAGCGAGCAGATGAGGGACAGCATGAGTTTTCTAGTCCAGACTAGAAGATCAGAGATCCGAAGAGGTATCAAAGAGAAACCCAAGTCGGGATCAGGATCCAGGGTCGTAATCAGGCAGAATCCTGCAGGAGTCCGAAGCCAGGTCAGGCAAACAGTCCAGAACTGGGGCAGGCAGGCTTAGAGTTACAAAGGCAGAAACTAGTCAAGAACACAAATGGTAAATGTCCTGTACTTATATAGCGCCTTTATTCAAATCAGGAGACTTGACCAAAGCGCTTTACACTACATTCATCCATTCACTCACACACTGATGGTGGCAAGCTACATTGTAGCCACAGCTGCCCTGGGGTTCACTGACAGAAGCGGGGCTGCCGTACACTGGCGCCACCGGGCCCTCTGACCACCATCAGTAGACAATGCAGGTGAACTGTCTTGCCCAAGGACACAAGGACACTGAAAGTCAGACCCAGGGCTTGAACCGTCAATCCTTCGATTTCAGAGCAAACTCCAACATCCAACGCCACTGTCGCCCCAACAAAGGCTACACTAGGGAACTCTCACCAATGGCTCAAATAATCTGGCACTGATGACTGGGGGCAAGCCGCTGAAATAGAGGCTGGAATTGAACAGTAATCAGGAACCTGGCGGAGCTAGGCAGGTGAAAAGAATGAACCATTAAGTCAGCCATCAGTGCCAAGATCATGACAGTGGCTCTTGATTTTGTTTCATATATATTAATATTTCAAAGTTTCTACTTTTCTGAGTCACTATACTTGCAAACTTCTTTCTCCTTTTGGCTTCAGTGTCTCTCTTAATCTTTTTTTCATTTTGCTTTTGCATTCTTTTACATTCATTTCATTTCCTCTGTCTCTCGATCATGTTGGTGTGGAAAATGAAATCATTATCTCTTCTTTTTGCTGCAGTTTAAGCAGTCCTCCGTTGATGGACAGAGCTATCCCTGATTTCAACAGCTGTAACTCAGTGGACGAGTGGCTGGACACGATAAAAATGGGCCGCTACAAGGAACGCTTTGCAGAGGGAGGCTATCACACTTTGGGACATGTCATAAGCATGAAGCAAGGGTGAGTAATCAGTGTATTTGGGGGTTAACAACTTGAAGGTGATGATGAGCCTCTGACTTAATTTGACTGGAAGCTTCTAAAAGCAAATGGAAAAGATTTTAGGCTGAGAAAATATTTTAATGAAAAGGAAATTTTACTCAAGTAATCGTAGATTTGAAACTATTGCACATTACTAATAAATAAGGGCTGATTTACCAAACCCGAAATTTATTGTGGGCAGTTTTTGTGACTATATTTGACACATATTAAACTACAGAAGAGGATTAGGGCCAATGAAAAAAAAAAAAAAGTTAACTGATTTTTAAATTTTGTTTCAGTTTAACATGAGAAGAATTCTGACTTTAATCTCAGAATTCTGACTTTTTTCTCAGAACTCTGAGATTAAAGTCAGAATTCTGACTTTNTCAGAATTCTGACTTTTTTCTCAGAATTCACTTTTTTCTCAGAATTCTGACTGAATTCTGACAATAAAAAAAGTCGTTGCTAAAGATAATTCTAGAAACATGAGTGGAAAGAAAAGCTGTAGTGAGGAAAGGTTCACCAACACGGGGAATGGGTTGCCAGTTCAGGCACCATCATCATCATCAGCCTTGCTTTTGTCACCCTGCTATGGGACAGACTTTACCAAATGCAACAGAGACACAGAAATAAATATCAAACAATAAAGCAGGAACTGAAAAGAGTAGTCCCTTTACCTTATAGAACCTTAAAATGACTTGTTTTTCTGTCACCCAGGGACATCCAGAGGCTCGGCGTGACACTGATGGGTCATCAGAAGAAGATCATGACCAGTGTCCAACTAATGAGAGCACAAGTCCTAAACAAGAGTGTTTCATCCGTCCACGTATAACTTCAGGTTTCTAACTGCATTAGAGACCAAAGCTTTTCTAAGACTGACAAGGATTCTTTGAGAAACCAGAGAAGATGGAAGAAGATGCTATTAAGGAACTTCCAAACGTTTTTTAAAACAAAGTGTATGAATAAGCAAGGAAACGCATTCTTTGGGACCTACTTTTTTTTTGTTGTTTTTGTTTTTTTTTTCAACTGAATTGAATTTGAACACTGAAAATTCTGCCTTTATTACTACATATTTTAAGTTTCTTCTTTACAATGAAATAATTATTTATTATTTATGTATCTGAGGATTATGTAGCAACAGGCAGGTTCTTTAAAAACTGCAATAATTTTAAAAGTATATATCTCTGAATGAAGAAAAAAAGGGAAAGAACATCCATCAGTGGTTTAAAAGAAATACTTTATCCCAGGCTTTTTTATTCCAACAAACGTCTCCTCTGATCATGTTGCTTCTACCACTAGGTGCCCCCCCCCACCCCCGCCCCGAAAACTGGTCATCTTGCAGCTGCATGGCGCACAATGATTGTACTTGCAAAATGTGTATGATTGAAATATAGAGCACTTTATTCTACAGTCTTTCTGTGATCAAAAGGTTTTTCAGTTGAGAGACAGACCTGAACACAATCAATTAAACACAACAGTAGCTGAAGAATTTAATGAATTATCAAATATCTATTTATCAGACAAAATTTAGGCAAATCTAGAAGTTAAAAGCTCTCAGACTGTTGGGAGATGCTAGTTTATGTTTGCATTGAAAAATCTGCTGCCAGCCTGATGAATAAGATTCTCTACCTCAAATGCTCAACAGGGGGCAGACCTGGACCGCAGGCGCGCCGGTGAAGAACCGATCTATTGCTTGTCTTTTTTTAAAAGAAACATGAAACCTCTGAGAAAAGATGCTAAAAGTCTCTAATATCAATATCTATATTGATCTGATTTTTGTCAAGTCCAGTAATATCTGGATCTTTCTACATTTTAGGATATACTTTGCTTTAGGTCCCTGTTTTGATCTGTTATTGAAATATGCCTGGCCGACTAAGAAATAATAATAATTATGATAATAATACAAAGAAATGCTTAAGACAATAATTTTTTAGCATTAATGCTAAATAGATCAAACGTCAGACTAATAAACCCTGTAGCAACAACAGAGTGGCTTTCATCTTGGTAAAATATGTCTGCTCATGTTTGTTTTTAACATCAACTATACTGTTTTGAGAATATACAACAGTGCTAAAGTTCTGTTTGAAACAGTTCTGGCATTAAATACAGGTTTTCAAATAATTTTTTGTATTTGCAGATGTATAAAACCAAGAACCTCTTGACATGCGGAAAAGCAAAATCCTGACTTTAGGCCAGATTACCTCCAGACAGACTCATTAGGCCTTAATGTCTGGCCTTAAAATGTGCTTCTATAGGAATGCAAAAAAATTAATTCATCAAACCCAAGTCCCAGTCTGGGTTATTTTTAGACCAACATTAATGTAATTATAGGAGGCAATTTAAATCAGTTATCATCTTCTTGTTTTTCTCTGTGCTGATCAGGACATGTTTCTACCAGTTCACAAGCATCAGCTGTCTGCATTCTGACTCATCCTCAGAAGCCGAATCTCTGAGATTCATCTAAGAACTTCTGAAGATGGCAACCTGGTGATTTGCGAAATTAGAGAAATCTACAGTGTAGAATGGGGAGAGGGCAAATCCACTTATCTAGCTCCTCTAACTTTAATGCATATTTTCTTCAACACCTGAATGAAATAGGTGACCTTTACAAGGAGAGCTGAGCTTTAGTCTCTCCTTCTGCTCACGGTATAGATTCTAGTCCTGGAACCACCGCTGCTATAAGACCATCCCCAAGATGCAGATGTTCACACGACTATCGTTGCACATATTCAGAAATTTAAAATCCATGGGACTGTAGCCAAACTCTTGGCACGTGGCCACCAGTGTTAATAGACGAAGACTATGACGAAAAATACTCGTCAATGAACCTTTTTCACAGGACTTAAACTAAATAAAAACTAAACAAAAAGTGAGATATGATGACTAAGACTATTATGAAAATAACTGACACTTTAATCAACGAATAAAAACGAGACAAAACTATTAGGGAGGGATGAACGGTGATCCTATCAGAATTACTTTTTTTGTGGGACAAATTGGGAAGAAATCCAATCAAAAGTTAGTTGCCAACCGCCATAGAAAGAAATCCAGGTGGCGGTAATGCGCCATAAAGCTGTGCGAAGAAGGAGAAGAAAAAGAGAGCGCGTATGGTTGAAGCATAGAAGCAGCATTTTCGTAGCAGTAGTAGCCTTTCAAAAATCAAATGAATAATAGACATGTTACAACAGCTAGGGCGAAAAAGAAGAGTTGATATCTGGGCACTCTTCACATACGACACTAAGGACAACAAGACAGCCTGCAAACCGTGTGGAGCCAAAATATCCGGAAAAAACACCACTAACTTGAAACGGCATTTGCAGATGACTCATCCAGAGATACATGCGAAGGTAAGCATACACGCTAAGCATACAAGGTTATTTTTTATTCGATTAACCGCCGTGTTTGCGCTAAACTTTCAGGGAGCAAAGCCACAGTTAATCTTTTTGAATTTCAAAATAAAATACGTTTTGTATCTGTAACTGTTCAATATGTGTCTAAATCTAGATAGATACTTTATTGATCCAGACTGAGACAAAACTAAGACTAAAAGACTTAAGACTAGACTAAGACTAAACCTCTTTTGACATTTAGTCGACAAAAACTACACTAAGACTAAAAGATTTCAGATGACTAAAATATGACTAAAACTAATTGGTGTGTTATTCAAAAGACTAAGACTAAAACTCTTTTGACATTTAGTTGACAAAAACTAGACTAAGACTAAAATATTTCAGATGACTAAAATATGACTAAAACTAAATGGTGTGTTATTCAAAAGACTAAGACTAAATCAGAATTTGCTGTCAAAATTATCACTGGTGGCCACAGGAGGAAATCTGGTGACAAATGAAATATAAATGCTAACAAAACAGCACAAAAAAAAAAACTTCTATTAGATTAAAGATGTTTAACATCAAGCACAGTGAACATGGGTGTCAGATGACACCATGAAAAAGCCAGACTGGAATTCACTAAACTACATGTGGAGAATTGCATGGACAGATGAGATGGAAAGGATGTTTTATGTCACAGCACATTAACTCTATGTTCTCAGACAGACACGAGGAGTCTCTGTTATGTTTACTTCCTCTGGAACAGGGTGCCTTGAATCTCTACAGGGTACAGTTAAATCTCAAGACTATCAAGGAAGATTCTCCCCAATCTCAGAAAGTTACAGGAATCATTTATTTTCTATTACTACCTCAAAAGGTTGTGCAACAAAATATAAAGTTATGGATAACATGTTTTTTTTTTTCCAGGCCTGTTTAGTATTTTTAATTTTTTTTCAATCAATCTGTTCAGCATGTTTGAAAAGAAATGCCGGGCTTTCTTTTGTTCCTTTTAATAGAATTTGTATTTATTATAACTTTTGTCAGATTCAGGTTGTTTTTGTGACCATTGTGGGTTTTGCTTTCATTAAATGAGAGGTACCAACAATTGTGTCCAGGTGTTTACATCGTTTTAAGAGAGGGTGGGATTCAGGCTGGTTGTTGCTGAGGTAGGCAGCTTTTACACTGTCTTTGGACTGTAAATTTTCAGCCAGCAATAGCAAGCCTGTTAGCAAAACACAGCGGACTGGTAGACTTAACTGTCAGGATTTGGTGTTGGATTGAGGACCCAAAAGCAGGACCCCCTTGTGTCCTCTTTCCCTTGCTCTGTTTTCTGTTCTGCCCTCACCTGTTTCCAATTCCCTCGTTAGCCCTCTCTTTGTCTCTGTCCCCTTTAAAAGCCCTCCCTCTTCAGTTCCTGTTTGCTGGATCCTCGTCTAATGTCTGTTTGCTTACCTCGTCTCTCCCTGGCTCATAGAGTTTGGTTTTCCCCTGATGTCTCCTTGGTTCTGGTTCGTTTGTTTTTTTGTTGGATTTTTTGATTCCTGCCTCAGTTCCTTTGAACCTCATTAAACCCACCTAAATTCACCTCTGCCTACTGGCCTCTGCTTTTGGGTCCTCAATCCAACACCAAATCCTGACAAATCCAACTCTAAAACGTTTTTGTCATTGTTTTATCATCCTTATGGCTAATGACAAATAATGTGTAAAATATTTATTAAGATGGAATAAAGGAATGTTTATCTAAATGAGAAACTATTTTAATTCAACTGAAAAAAGATTGCCATTGCACTACACTTTTTATGGCCTGTTTACTGAGAATAAACTATATTTCCAACTATGTAAAGCATGTAAATTGAGAAAAACCTATACCTTTCAAATGGCTGTGGGTTCTAGTAATGCTGTCTGTAATAGACAAAACAGGAAAACCCTATAAAAATCTGTATGAGTGATTTCATTCTTAAAAAAATGCAACTTGAGTGAAATTCAGTTACCGGGGCAGAATAGACCGACAGGTTAGTTTGGCCAAACAGCCGACAGCAGGTAAACCCACGCACCTGCTGTGTAGATGGCATAGATGCCCCAGAGTCAGACTTTTATGCAGAACGAGGAATTGGCAAACCTTGTTCCACCTTTCTTTGCATGGTTGTCAGGACTCCTCCTTTGACCAGACATCACTCCACCAAACAGAACCACTCACACAGGGTGATCTACTGTCTTCCCCAAGCCCACATCCTGCAAACTCTTCTGAACCTTTATGTTTTCTATTTTTCATGCATATTTTCAAATATAAAAAGCCAACATTCACCTCTCTTTTGTTCTAGCAGCCGAACTAACCGACTTAACCAACAAATCAGATCATGGCCCTACCCATAACCTCCAGCAGAACCAGGCTCAGTGTGAGCGGCCATCTGCTGAGGCTGACTGGGGTTCAAGGAGACAGAAGCAGACATAGAAAAAGAAGCATAGAGACAAAAGGCAACTGTCAACCAGCTCCACAGGTGGCTCCGTCTAAGAAAGACAAGCTCCAGAGCAGTTCCCATGCCAGAGGTTGAATAAATAAACTGAAATTAATTTAAGAGGGCACATTTTGGCCCGCCAAAAGAGTAACAGCAATTGGTTTCACCTGGTTCCCGCAACTATTTAAGTTGTTTGCCTGCAAGCTGTTTGAGACTCTGATTCTGACCTGTTTTCTGCCTCTGTATATTTGTTTTTTTGCTTTTTCCCTGTCTGCTCTGTAACTTTTGTTTTTGGACTGACTTCCTGGATTCTGCTGGTTACCGAACTTAAACTTTGTTACTGAGCTCGGCTTGGATTTTCCTTCGGTACCTTTTCAGCTCTCTGATAGCCTGGTCTGTCAACCTGATTTGGATTTTACTTCGCCTCTGGATAATCCCTCACAGACACTGTTGCCTCCTCGCCGTTGGCTGACGCCAGGTCCTCATCACCTGAGCTCTGAAGTGGTTATGGCTGCAAGTGGTGGACAATATCCCTCTGGATTCCTCCTCTCCCTCTGGAATCGGACTGAACTCTCAACCAGGTGAGTTAATTTAGCTCCTAGTCATGATCAGCTCGACATTCTTGTCACTGACTGAGTTTTCTGTCTCTGCAGAGAATCTGCTGACGTCCAGCAATTTGCTTAAGTTATGAATAGACGTTTCAAAACCTTCCTGATCTATCAGCTTGAAAATTGAGTCCAGGGTTCAGAGGTCTTACAGAAAGAATTTGGCAAAATATGGATCCACCACCTGACAGATGTTGGCGTGAGATCGACCATCAGAAGGATTCTCAGCTTGAAGCCTGAGTCGCTGAGATCCTCACTCATCTGTGTAGTCAGGCGCTGGCTGCCGATGTTCCTTCCCTCCCTGTCAGGAATCTTGTCTGTCTACCCCTGAGCAGCATAGCCATGATCAGGAGCAATGTGGAGCATTTCTCACCCAGCGCAACATTCATTTCGAGCTAAGGCCCTCCGCATTTCTGTCCGGTTGAGTCAAGTTAGCTTATGTAATTTCGCTGTTAGCAGGTAAGGCAATGTTGTGGGGAATGTCGAAGTGGGAGAATAACTCCTGTGTGAATCCTATGAGGATTCTTTTTAGGAGTTAGTCTGTGTTTTTAGCCCCGTTCTCCCCAGCAGAGAGTCTTCTAGACCAGTGTTTTTCAACCCTGGTCCTCAAGGCAACCTGCCCTGCATGTTTTAGATGTTTCCCAGCTTTCACACACCTGTTATCAATTGATAGCAGATTATCAGGCTTTGCTGAACTGCAATTATCAGAATCATGTGTGCCGAACCTCAGAAACATTCAAAACATGCAGAGCAGGGTGCCTTGAGGACCAGAATTGAAAAACACTGTTCTACTGTTGACTTTGAAGCAGGGGAATCGATCAGTGTCAGAATACATAATAGATGTCCACCTGTTAGCTACACAGAGTTCTTGGAATGAGGCAGCTCTGATCGTGGTTTTCATCACGGGACTTGGCAAGAGGATTAAGGACAGATCTTCCTCCGTTATTATTCTCACTCTTTGAAGCAGCGGGAGCTAGCTACCTGGATTGACTTTCACCTTCAGGAGCTGTGTCTGTAGTGCGGAGGAGAGGGACATCGGTCAAGACTCTGCCCGGCAAAGGGACGGGCTCAGTAGGAGAGGGGAGGATCCCGCTGAGCCGAGCCAGACTGTCCGCCTCCCCAGAGTTTCTGCTCCCTGTGACTCTGTCTGTTGGATCATGCAACCAGTTTGTCAGCCTTTCTGGACTCAGGAGGAGATATCGAGTTCATGGATGGAGACCTGGCCAGGCAACTCTGCAAAAAGCTACTTCCCACGCCAGACTCACAAAAGGTAGCCCTTGATGGGCATCAGCTTAATCAGTCATCTCTCTTGACAAAACCTGTAGAGCTGGTGGTGGGTGGTAACCATGTTTAACTATTATCTGTTCTAATTATTGACTCACTTCAGTTCCCTGTCATTTTAGGTTCAACCTGATTAACCTGGCACAACCCTCATATTGACTGGCAGAGGGTGGAAGTGTTAGACTGGTCCGCTGCTTGTTTGAGCTCCTGTTTAAGGTCAGCTAACTCTGAGGATCCTGAGTTTCATCCAGATCTTCCCAAGGTCCTCAAGGAGTATCATGGTCTCCTTGAGGTTTTTTAATAAGGGTAAAGCAACAGCCCTACCTCATCAAAGACCCTTTGATTGTGGGATCGAACTCCTGTCAATACCACACCCCCTAGGGGTAGGTTATACTCCCTGTACATCTCCGAATCACTTAGGGCAGGTATCATTCATCCCTCTTCCTTATCTGTTGGGGCAGGTTTTTATTTTTTGTTGGTAAAAAGTATGGATTCCTCAAGCCCTGCATTGACAGGGGGCTTAATGACATCATAGTGAAGAATCTGTACCTCATTCCGCTGATAAATTCCGGATTTGATCAGTTTAAGGTAGCTAAGGTTTTCACCAAGCTTGATCTCTGTAATGCATACCACTTGGTGGACATCCAGGAGGGTGATCAGTGGAAGACTGCACTCACACCCCCACCGGTCACTTCGAGTATCTGGTGATGCCTTTTGGGCTCACCAATGCACCAGCAGTTTTTCAGAACCTTGTGAATGATGTACTTAGGGACACTTTGTCTTTGTGTACATAGACGATATATTCATTTATTCTCGGGAGTTGGATTCCAACTGCAACACGTCTGATCTGTACTGCTTTGCCTTTTATAGAACCAGTGGTTAAGGCTGAGCACTGTGAGTTTCTTTTCTGTGTTTGGTGATCTCCCCCAACCAGATCTGCATGGACCCCATGGAGGTGTGCGCAGTCACTGACTGGCTCATTCCCAGGGATAGGAAGCCACTTAAGAGGTTCTTGGGCTTTGCTAACTTTTACCACCGGTTTATCAGGAACTATAGTCAGATGGCTGCACCCCTCCACATATCACTGTTACATAACATATTACTGTTATATAACAGTAATATGTTCTGCCTGATTCTGTAAGGTGTGCTATTACTATAGTTCAAATCAAGAAGGAGGTCAGACAGGCCCTCCTCAACCAACCTTCTCCCAATGACTTTCCCACTGATCGTTTGTGAGTTCCAAATGCTCTGAGAGGGAGGGTTTTAGAGTTCTGTCACGGTTCTCATTTGTTTTGTTATTCTGGCGTTACAAAGACAATTGACATTGTTCAGACTCAGTGTTGTGGCCTTCTCTCTCTGCAGATGTGCAGGAGTTTGTGGTGCCCTGCCTTAGTGTAAGCAATCCAAAATCTCCTAACAACCTCCACTGGTTTTCTCAGGCTTTGCCTATCCCATCCTGTCCTTGGTCCCACATTGCTATGGACTTTGTTACCGGGTTGCCTTGCTCTGACAGTAATGCTGTCATTCCTACTGTTATAGACAGGTACTCTAAGATGGTGCATTTGGTCCCTCTGCCCAAACTCTCCTCTGCTAAGGAAATGGGGGAGGTCCTCATCAGTTAGGTCTTCCGGCTTCATGGTCTCCCCACTGACATTGTATCTGACAGGGGTCCCCAGTTTGTCTACAGGTTCTGGAGGGAGTTCTGTTCATTGTTAAATAAATTAAGATACACCCAATTGTAGTCCAACCTTTCCCCTTTAGTCACGCAATCACCAGCCGGTAGTTTTATATATGCACCTTCTTCTTCTCTTTTTGACTACATACCACTGGCAAGAACGACAATAGTGCAGAAAAAGTCAGTGAAATTTTGGTCAGATGAGGCCACTGACTAACTGAGGGATTGTTTCAGAACCATAGACTGGACCATGTTCCAAAGCTTTCATGGTGATGGTATCAACAGCCTGACCGAATGTGGGGAGAGCACGGTGCCCACACGATGGAAATAGAGGAGCAACTGGCACAAAACAACATCTCAAGAACATCTTCAGCTTTAGGCTGGGGAGACCACAAGCAGAGCTGCAGACAGAGACTCCCCTCACACCAGCCCCCTCCCTGTCCTCAACTCTCACACAGTTCCAACCCCCAGAGACCTCCCCTCCCCCTCACCGCCACTCTCACCAACCGCAACCCACTCACACCCTCTGTCATGTAACTTCGATGCAGGTGAGAGACCAGCTGAAGAGACGAAACAGAGGAAAAGACAGGATTCCTCCAAGGCTGCAGAGGAACTGTGCTGATGAGCTCTTTCAGGTCCTCAGCTACATCTACAACCTGAGCCTCAGCCTAGGGGTGGTGTCCACTCTCTGGAAGACCTCCTGTGTGGTACCGGTTTCCAAAACACCACATGCCAAGGAACCGGTCCACTCTAGACCAGTAACCCTGACCTCCCACCTGATGAAGACCATGGCGCCTCATCCTAGCCCACCTGGGCACCTGCAATTTGCTTACGGACCTGACATCAGACTTGAGGATGACATCATCAACCTGCTGCAGCGGTTGCTCACCCACCTGGAGCGCAGTGAGAATCATGTTTTTTTTTTACTTTTCCATCAGACCAGAGCTGTTAAGAGGGAAGTTGGAGGACGCTGAAGTGGACAGACACCAAACGCCTTCAGTACTTTCCAGCTGCTCGGCTGTCAGTCTGAGGAGGCAGTCTGCAGTAGCGGGGCCCCCAGGGCACCGTTCTCTCTCCATTTCTCTTCAACCTTTACACTTCGGACTTCATCTACAACACAGACAGCTGTAGGCTGTGTTTCTGAGGGGAACAAGCTTTTCTTCCTTTGTCACATTCTTCTTGTCTTTTTGACTATTTGAGCTGATAGAATGAGCAACATTCTCCACTGTGAAATCAATAAAGTCAATGAAATAATCAAGCCGAGCCATTTTTGGCCAAGTGATTATTCTATAAATAATCCAATAATAATTTATTTACACTATTTTTCTGCATTGCCCTCCCGAAATCTAGCGGTACAAACAACATCTATTTAAACTGTGTGGCTCATATGACACCATCCTGGTAGATAATCTGCAAACTGCCCAGTAGTTGCAGGTGCAATTTAACAAAGCAGTTACCTCTTGGACATTAGGCCTGTTTTCGAGAAATATGCTTGAAAATAATATGCCCAAAATGAATTGATTATATCTCAAGAACAACAGAGTTTATTTTAATTGTTTTGGTATCAAAATAAAGGCAAGACCCCAGAGAATATGCTACAGTTTTCAAATAATATCTATGGACTTTCCAAAGAAGAAAAGCTAAGCCCTGCAGAAAAAGAAGTGAGCAATAAATCTCGAGGATCACCCTGCTGAGAATGTTCCAAAGTTCATTCAAGCAGAACTGGAATTCCAAGTAATTATTGAACTGCAGGAGTGGGCAGACTGGGCAGACTGGGCAAACAGGAGAAAGGCAGAAATATTAAAGAAAGAAATGAAAAACCACTCATTTGAAAGGATTTTAACTGTTTACTTCTTTCTCTGAGACAGAGCTGCAAATAGGATATAATATAAAAAAGGATATAGCAATGCCATGCTAAATAAATGCAAGTATAATAAGGACATTTAGAATACTATTCCTCCGTACAAAGGTCAACACAAATGTTCGTCTTGTTGGTAGAGGTTCTAAAAGTCAAATACTACAAATATTTCTTACCTGTTTGTTTTATACATGATTAATAAGTTCCACCATTTTCAGTCTATAAAGACTGATTAATTCATGTGGAGTGACGCGTTCTGGTGTAATTGAAAATGGGGTAAACGTGAGGAAAGAGAGATTTGATTAGGATGAGGTTTTAGGGTTTGGGGAAAAGTAAGAATCTTACTTTGCATTTGGATGTGAAGAAAATAAAAGCTCTACAGACCAAAATGTGTTGTGGATAATTTTTAATCAGGATATCACTTTTAGTTCTGACTTGTTTTTTTCTTGGTAGATTTGTTTGCTTATCTATCTCTAAGAACGTCTTAATACCAACAAAAACTGAACATGTTTGTATTTTCTAATTGTGCAATTAGAAAATATATTTTGAATCATCTCTGAGTGTAGAATAATTGAATAAGTTAGGCTTAAACAAAGTATCTTGGAATTTAGACCAGTTGAGCAATTAGCTACCAGCTACCCAGTTGCCATCATTCAGTATTTTACTGTTTGCTTTACAAACTAATTCAAAAGATTTTTCATCTTAGTGTTGTAACTCAGAACACATAATTAAGGAGCGTTCCAGGACCTGCTCCTTAAAAATAAGACACTCAATGAAAGTGATTTGCATTTCACCAGTCTTTACTTGGACAAGAAAGGCTGCAGTATTTTAAATCCCTTAAATTTTAAATGGATACAAAACTACTACATCAACTAAAACAGTAAAAAAAAAAAACTGCAATCAGATAAACTTGGCAAGTTAGACCAAGTTTAAAGTAATTCATATCAACCAGGTAAGGCTTGATCAACGCATTAAAGCCCAAAATAGTTTCATGATGCTGTCATCTGTTCATCCACCCATTTTCTGAGAAAGTCACTAATGACAGAAATAAGGGAGAAAAATAGTAAAACAAATTGGTACAACTTTCAGTTTATAACAATTATGGTGGCCTACTACAGTACATCTTTTCTAACATTACTTTGTTCAGGAGTAATACTGCAAAAAAAGGGACATTTGCATTTCTTGAAATCAAACAAATAAAGGTGTACAGCACTATTGATAAAGGACATCCAAACTTTAGACAGGAAATAACAGTTAAAGGAAACATTTAATCAAATACATAAAACTTAAACTTGCACAAAATTGTTATAAACTGTTATAGTAAAATATTACATATTTAGTAAATAAAAAAAGAATGGAGTAGGGAGTAGGTGAAATATACACAAAGCCATGCATATATATATATATACGGAAGAGGATTAGGGCCAGTGGAAAAAAAAAAAAAAGTTAAAAGATTTTTACATTTTATTTCAGTTTAGTATGGGAAAAAAGTTAGAATTCTGACTTTAATCTCAGAATTCAGACTGAATCCTGAAAATAAAAGTCAGAATTCTGAGAAAAAAGTCAGAATTCTGAGAAAAAAGTCAGAATTCTGACTTTTTTCCCATGTTAAACTGAAATAAAATTTAAAAATCAGTTAACTTTTTTTTTTTTCCAGTGGCCCTAATCCTCTTCCGTATATATATATAGATAGATGTAGATATAATGTATATACACATACCTTTAAATATGTTATATAAAACATATCCTAATGAGTTTCCCCAAAGTTAACAAAGTCAATGTTCTGATCTGTAACCCCTAACACTTAAATTTATGACCCCCCCAAACACCCCCCACCCCACAAGTCTTTTCTATAACCCACAAAATTATTCTTCTGCAATTTCTTAGAGTTCAGTTCAGAAATGTGTTCGTCTGGTCTGTATTCCTCAATGGGAGTTTTTTAAGCCATGGAAAAGGCCAGAAGACTCTCCCAAACTACAAGTACTGCTCCCTTTTCTCTGGTGGGGTACTTTTAACATTTGGTCTGCAATTCAGAGGGGAAAAAAACAGGTTTCAGTCAAAATACAACCATATCGAACAAATGAAACCAGTAAAATACATTTTCAACACCCAGGGATCATTGGATATAGTTGACACGGCAAAGCAGCACATTGCTATGATTCAAATCAAGGGAGGTGATGAGAAGGACAATAAATGATTTCTCAATGAAAAGCTCAAATATCCTTTAATAATCTATATTTACACTGAAGATCAAATATGGTGGAGTGAAAGAATATGTTTCCAACACTTCTATATTACAAATATGACAAACAGGAATTAAAATTTGGGGCAAACAGTGTAACCGGACGGTGAAAAGGAAATTCAGTGGTTGGACAGTCAGAAAGTCCTCGATCAGTCAGGGAAGCTAGTTTCACTCAACAACTCTGCCCTGAATTAGAGGAGAGAAGACAATCAGAAGAAGAGGGTGAGACAGGACGGGACGTAAGGGACACATCAATACTAATGTTACACACTTTAATGATGCGTGCAGTGTTAGTACAAAGGTAGAATTCAACATTAGTTTTGATACTTGCCAACTGATAGATACGGAGCCCCTCTGATGACATGGTCAAAAAAATGTTTAAATTGTGGCCACAAAGTAGTATTTCGTGCGCACGAAATACTTATTAATAATATTAATATCATTCCTGGACAACTGGGTAAGCAAATTGAGCGCGCCTTAGACCTTAGAGCAGGCACGCTCGATTTGCTTACCCAGTTGTCCAGGAATGATATTAATATTATTAAGTATTTCATGCGCACGAAATACTTATTGCGTGGCCACAAAGTAGTATTTTGTGTGCACGTTATACTTATTGCGTGGCCACGAAGTAGTATTTTGTGCGCACGTTAAACTTATTGCGTGGCCACGAAGTAGTATTCCGTGCGCACGTTAAACTTATTGCGTGGCCACGAAGTAGTATTCTGTGCGCACGTTAAACTTATTGCGTGGCCATGAAGTAGTATTTCGTGCGCACGAAATACTACTTCATGGCCACGCAATAAGTTTAACGTGCGCACGAAATACTACTTCGTGGCCACAATTAAAAATTTTTTTGACCATGTCATCAGAGGGGCTCCATAGATAGATACATCACAGATGAAATATGATTTTGGAAAAATTAGTCCCCAAACACTGTACAATAACAACCTGATTCATTCAACTTCACCTTGTTCCAGTTCTAGCAATAAAAGATAAGTTTTCCCATTTATGACATCACAGCTATGAAACCAGATCAGGTCAGAAACAATAATATATGTTACAGTCTTGGTTTGTTAGTTCCTGTTTACTTGGTTTTCCATTTGTTGTCCTCTGCTGCCCTCTTGTGTCCTCTTTCCCTTGCTCTGTTTTCTGTTCTGCCCTCACCTGTTTTCAATCCCCTCGTTAGCCCTATCTTTGTCTCTGTCCCCTTTAAAAGCCCTCCCTCTTCAGTTCCTGTTTGCTGGATCCTCGTCTAATGTCTGCCTGCTTTCCTCGTCTCTCCCTGCCTCCTAGTGTTTGGTTTTCCCCTGATGTCTCCTTGGTTCTGGTTCGTTGTTATTTCTGTTGTATTTTTGATTCCTGCCTCAGTTCCTGTGGACCTCATTAAACCCACCTAAATTCACCTCTGCCTACTTGCCTCTGCATTTGGGTCCTCAATCCAACACCAAATCCTGACAATATAATGTGTCGCAGAGCTGAAAATAAGTTTTTTTCAGAAGCCAGCAAGATTAGGTGTTTCAAAAATATGAAAAAACAAAAACAAAATACATCTATTCAGTGCTCTAATCAACTATTATAACAAAGTTTATTTGGTGGAGACTTGGAGTCTGTGCAGAATGGAAAGCCATCAACACATATAATGAGATAGATACACTGAGTTCTTTCTGCAGATGTTACCTGCCACATCAGAACTATGTATACATAAACATGTATATTTTTGCAGCTTTGGGAGGATGTTGGAGGCCCTGCAAACTTCAACATCTGCAGAAAGAATTGCTGCCAATTTGTGGTATTTTTTGCTTTGTTGTTGCAGACTTAAGCAATTTCAGGAGCTTGGTCCTAAATGGTTATATCCAAGGGATATATGGCTATACTACCTGATACTAATGGTCCAAATTATCAAAAACATTTTTAAACCTTGATCATCAGTTTAAGAATAGGTTAAAACATAGCATAGGTTCAAAACAACTACAAGATATAGACAAGTATTCTTTGTTTTTTATATTTAAAAAGCAACAATGTTCCACAAAAATCAGACTATTATCTAATCTATTTGCTGAATTAAGAGCAGACTTAGTTTAACGCAGGGAGACAAATTATTTAGCAAAGAGCAACGATGTACAAAACATTGAGGAAAAACATTTCAGTTAAGAAACGGCATCAAGCTCAGAAACTTTTGCAAAAGAGGAGATATTCAATATCCATTAAGATGTTTTATATGTACTAAATATTCTACTTACAGTTGCAGATATTTAAAATGAATTAAAACGCTGTGATTAGCTGTTTGACCTCCATCTACTTTCTTCCCACTAATTGCACTTTGGAAACTTTAAAATTGTAATTCTTTTCAAAGTGTTGGGATCTGGAGGCTTGTCCACTTTCTCCACCAGAGGGCGCCTGAGATCTTCCTCCTGAGGGCATGAGCTTACTCCTATACACCTGTTTCCTGTCTGCTCATCAGGAGACCTATTTAAGGAGGAGGACGCTGACACT